GGGGGGGGGGGGGAAGGAACGGCAAGCTACTACGAACCTTGACGTGCGACTTGTCTTCCCTGATTTCCAAGAGACGCGTGTTGAGGCGGCCGAACTCGTTGATCTTCTGCTGGTCCTCGTACCTAACCTAATACAGTCAGGGGTGTCAAAGCGGAAAATTTCCTATAAGGAAAAATTCGAAAAAGCGTCCTCGGATCTTGCTGACGGAAAATCGACCAACCGATGAAATTGCACGGAACCGTCGGAGCCTCCCGAAAAGACCCTCTGACGCACACGCGCGAGGGCGCGGCTCGCCTGTGTGCTTTGCGCCCTGCTATGGGGCACAGCACGACACCATTGCGCGGTCCCACTCTAGAATACATGCCTCATGACACACCCGAGCAGCAGCCGGGCGGTGAAGCCACGCAGACACCTGCCGCCGCCGCTGCTGCTGCTGAAAATAACAACAGCAGCAGCAGCAGCGGCGGCGGTGGCGGCNCCTCCCGAAAAGACCCTCTGACGCACACGCGCGAGGGCGCGGCTCGCCTGTGTGCTTTGCGCCCTGCTATGGGGCACAGCACGACACCATTGCGCGGTCCCACTCTAGAATACATGCCTCATGACACACCCGAGCAGCAGCCGGGCGGTGAAGCCACGCAGACACCTGCCGCCGCCGCTGCTGCTGCTGAAAATAACAACAGCAGCAGCAGCAGCGGCGGCGGTGGCGGCAGCGAGGTTGAGCCTGGCTCTCTTCCACAATTTTCTTACTTTTGACCAACTCCCCCTTCGTTTGCTCCAGCGTTCACTCTACGACGGTGAGGCTGCCGCGTTCGATAGCGCGCCGCGTGTCATCTTCTGCTGAGGCGGCAACCATACACTGCCCCGTCCTCCCTTCAAATTTCGTTTTGTTTTGATTCAGCTTTCGCGCAGCACGCCTTCTGCTGCCGAACGGCGCGGATCTCGATTTTTTTTTTTCGGACGGTCTGCTGGTGTGGGCGCTGCAGCCGCACTGGAGGGGCCGTTTTCAGACATGTAGATCTCGTGGTTGGCTGATGCGATTCGGATGCGGTTTGTTGTGTGGTATAGCTGTAAACCCAAGGTAGAGGGCTGTAAGATCGCTTTTTCGAGAGGAGCAAAGGTCGCCTTGGGCGTGGAGCAAAGAGCCCAAAGAAACATGTTTTTTTGGGGTTGTTCGTCCGCCCGTTAACTTCAAGAGAATCCAATCCTACAGTCACCTCTATTGGACCTGTGTCCAGGGGTGTGTAACGCATGAAGAGCCATGCTGCTGTGTGGACGCAGAGCTACCTGTACAAACAAATTCACTTGATGTATAGTTTATTCAGTGTTAACAGCGGGATTCTCAAGAACAAAAAAAAGAAACAAATCCGCGTGCCCCCCTCAAACGAGTTCAAATGTGATTGCGGCTTCGAATGCGAAGACCGTGTTCATGTAGTCGCGGAATGTCCGTTGTACAAGAAGGAGAGGGAAGTGTACGTGACTGAGCTGGGAAAAGTAGATGGAACGTACAGGGAGATGTTTGAGGCATGGAATAGAGAGGAAAGGACGGTAGCTGTAGTGGGGCATAGGAGGTGGGTTGAANCCCCCCCTCAAATTTTGCCGAATGGACCGGACGTTTCTTTGGCCCCAAATTCCGCCGCTTAAACACCCCTAACAGCAGTATACAGTATCGATTGGCAGACACAGCAGGAGGCAAGAAATAAAGACAACGGGGTGCTTTCAGTTCGTGAACGGAGTTACTGGTGCGTCAAGCAAGACGGAGAGCAGGTTTGGCACTGTAAAACAAGCACCTGAGACGGGAAAATGGCTCGTGTTCGAATGCCCAAGTACTGCATGTAGTCATGAACCGGGGGCATCGGATGTGTTTCGTGGTGTGGCGGTAATAAATAAAGGGACGGTCATCAGCCGAAATGTCCGTCTTCCCCCCACAGCAGCTTGCCAATAGCTTTTTCCCGCATCCAGGAAGATTCCGCCTCGATTCTCCCCGTCCTCGTTTAGTCGGTGCTGCTGCAGCTTACATGCAGCAGGGGTGGAGTGCATTCATGTAGACTTCGCGATGGCTGCAAGTCTCACGGACGACTCGACCAAAATCATGACCTCTGAGGCCCATGTTTATGGTCACCAAATCTTTGAAAAAAATCTTCAAAAGTTTCCAAACATTTGCGTGCGAATATTTGTCAGAGGAAGATTTGAGTACCGCTGTTATGGGAACGAGAAAAATATCTTCGGCGGGACTGTGAGTTTCGGAGGCGTTTTGGTTCGTTTTCATAAAGCACGCGGCACGGGGCCTCCTTCTCTCTCACGAGCAACACGCGCGCACCAGCTGGCGCACACAACTGTAGTTATAACTTTCCACGCCCATACACATACACACGCCAGACACACGCCACACCACACACACGTCACGCACACACCCCGGTGGTCTCCGAGTTCGACACAGCAGCATCCCGCAAATTACAATGGCAGTCGATTTCTCGAAGTCACAGAAGGCGCCCATGCTTCTCAACGATCTCTCGGAGGACGTCATGTTCGCCTTACGGAAGTTCTGCGGCACCTACGGCAACAAGACCATGACCCAGCCTGCCCTCAAGATGCTTCAGCCGATACCACTCGTCCTCTCTGCTCCAGCAGTCAAGGAGGCAGACAAGATGTCTGCAGCACAGTGAAACCTGGCAGCGTCAAAGTGCATGCAAGAGATCGCGGTTCGTGGTTTCATCAAGCTCATCGAGTACGCCCTGAGCACCATGGACGGGCCGCTGCAGATGCCTCACAAGTGAAAGGACATGGTGTACTACACGACCCTTGGTTCAGGTGTGTATCTATTGTGGCTACATCAATTGGTGACACGTACCGAAGACTTATGTTGTGTTGTGCTGGTCGTGTGATGGCACGCCCGACCATCATGTGGAATGTACCAAATAGTTGCAACGGCTCGAATTTGATGCAGACGTATGCATTCTCACGAACACAGCAGTAGTAGAGTAGGCATGCCATTCGAGTGAAAGGACGCACTTGCGGGCCTTTTCTGTCCACCGAATAAGAAATACAGGTGCTGTGGGAGAGGTCGATTGGACCGGAGCTGGCATTTTGGCATGTACGATGCACATATATGATCTGAAGAGGAGTGTAGATAATTTTGATCAAGCGGTTGCAGGTGCACCACGTGTGGTGTTCGTGAGTGGCAGTACCAGCGATCCACCTGCCACCTGCTATGTTGAGGATTATGGATAGTTCTAGGCACCTTTTGCAACACGGGTTGGAGTCAGGGTTCGTTTTGCTGGCAACAGCAGTAGTGGTATTCGCGAAAGTTTTGTTGCCAACAGCAGGAGTATTCGCGAAACCATTCACCTCCCTCCAACGGTGTCTCCATGCATGCATGTGGTTTATGGTTCGCGGCCGATGCGTGTTAGATGTCTGGCGTTACTCTCTGAAAAAGGGGAAGTCTAAGCCATGAGTTTCCGGGACGTCTGCGATTTGTTTGTGGGTGGAGACGCAGACAGACACACACCGACACCACCCGCAGCAGCAGCAGCAGCAGCAGCGGAAACAGCACTATTATTAGTCGACAACACCTCTGCTTGTATAGATGTTCCAGCCCCGAACGAATTCGCTGCCATGCCTGAATCAGAGGCAAGAGGGCACACGTTGACGACACGTTCACCACGAGACAAGGTGCTGCTCCGCCTCCAAAAATGCACACAAATAGCGGACTTCCTCTTGCTCCCACATGCGCTGTTGCCGTTTGAAATGTATCGCAGGCACCTCCAAGGCGAAGACCTTCATGGAGAAACCTTCGACCGTCCTAACCAAGTGCAAGGGCTACAAGGCCGAGTACACGAAAGTGTGGCTCTGGCTTGACACGTAAGTTTTGCGGGCAAGTCGGATTCTCAGCGCAGCGTATTTCCCTCTCTCGTGGCGTCGCACACTCCGAAAACCGGAAGACGAAAGCAATGCAACCCTAATT